GGGCACAGGGGAACAATGTGGGCCTGGCCATGGTCCCTGCAGAATTTTTTAAACATCTAAACCCCTAAGACTTGGTGTAGGCCATCATTTTTCATCTCCCAGTTCTGTTTGAGCGTCAGTGTGCGGGTTGTGGGGACACCTCCGCGGTCCCTGGGGTCTGTGCCTTTGTTCATGGTGAGTGACGCTGCTTTGTGGCAAATTTTAATCTGGAAATGCACCCAAGAACAGTCTGTGCTGGAGGCATGGGCAGTTACTGTGGGGATGGGGCCATTCCCAGCACCTCGCCCTGCTCCGGGGAGATGGGCACGGCCGGCAAGGATTCTGATTCCCCCTTGCTTTAATCATCCAGGCTTCCCACGTTGGCCGGGTGACGGCCCTATTCTTCCCACAACAAAAAAGCCGTGCCTGGAAATGAGCCCTCATTGACGTCCTCGCCATCCGGGTCCGGCACGGGGTGCTGTGCCTGGCACTGCCACCATCCCTGTGCTCCCTGCCCTGGCCAGGTGTGCTTCCCACAGCCCCTCATCCTGCACGGCATTGCTGCTGACCCCGGGATTTATGGCACTGCTGTGGGAGCAGGGGGAGGGCCGGGAGTTAAGCTGAGGCTGAGCTAAACCCTGCAGATAGAGGACTCCTGTGTCCTGGCTAATCCCCAGCCCCCTCCCCTCGTTTATCAGATTGCTGAAGGTGGAGATTATGCACGTGGTGACTACAAAGTCATGTTTAGCTGCCTCCCTTCAGAGATGCTCAGATAGCCCCGCGCCTGAAATGCACCCACATTCCTTTGGGCTCAGCACATACCTGAGGTGGTCTGTCCTGTAAAACTGGGAATGTTTTGGTGTGAACCAGGATCATTTCTTCAGTTAAAATTTGTGTTTCCTTCGTTCATCCTTCTGGTTTAAGGTTTTAGAACAGTGAATTTTGCAGAACAGTGCAAATGTGTGTGCTGTGCATAGCAAACCTTTTAGAGATTAACTCAGATTGGTTCTGCTTTCTACTAGGTTTAAGCTTTGGAGAAAGCTGCTTGTGAGTAGGAACAGCTGCTTTAGATTTTTACTTGGCTTGTGTAACTGAATACTGGTTTCATTTCTGATCCCAGTACGTTTGGCTCATTAATTTCTGTTGCATTCACATATTCTGCAGTAGTAAGAAGCTACACCCTGGTTTGTCAGCTTCTTTAGCCTTTATCAAGGCTGGAGAGGACTTTGCTGTGACTCCTACCTCCTGCTGCTCCAAAAATCCATCCTGTAGATAAACACCTTTGTCTCAGGAAACTCCCATGCCAAATCCAAGTGAGGGAAGCCAGGCTGCTGTCATGCTGAAGTGAGGTTGACCCAGCTCATCTTCACGAGCCAGCGCTGCCCCGAAGTTGGGCTTTCTCGAGGTCTGTATCCAAGGGGGAGCAGAGGGTGTGGGCAGCACCCCAGACATGATGTGGATTTGTGCAATTGTGTGTCTGCCCAGCCTGAGCTTTTCCATTCCCAGTGCCACCTCCCGGGTCCTGCTTCAGCCGTGGGCATTTCTGCCTGCTGGCAAAGGCACCGTCCTGCCTTTACGCCGAACAGCACTGGAAACAATCTGGTTTAACCACCATCCCTAGGAAATGACTGAGTGAGAGACAGCAGCGTGGTTCCTTTCTGTTCCTTGGTGCCTTTGCCTTGCTGGGCCAGGGGGTTCCAATCATCTGGGTAGTGCCTGTTTCACATTTGGGAAAGCCACCCCGTGGAGAGTACTGGAACACTGCAGCTTTGTGTGAACCTGAATGTGCTGGAATAACCCCACCCACGCACTGCAGCTCTGTGTGCAGCTGCTGGGATATTAATGGGTTAAAATGCAGGGTGGGGGTTGAAGGCAGCTTGGCCTGGTGTGCGAGGGGTTAAACTGCTGGGTGTGAAACGTCTGCTACGGGCAAAGCTTCTGGTGCAACTCGCTGGCATTATTTTAAGCTAGATGGCTGTTGGTGTGGACCAAGGTTTAGGCCTCCCTTCCTTTCTGTTTGACATCTTTGTCTGGAGATCTCACTGAACCGAGCATCGTCCCTGCACTCTCTCACAGGCAGGGTTAGAGGCTTAAAATTCTGAATTTAATGTGACAACTCCTGTTGTGGGGAGCCCTGCAATTTACAGTTTTTGTTGTCCATAGGTCTTCCAAAGATTTGGAAAAGGATCAGTAGAATCATATCACTGTGGCTTGACTGTACAATGGTTTCTGTAATGATGTTCACTGGTTCTGGGCAGTGACTTGTGCTGTGGGGCTTTCTGAAGCCCGGAGGTGCTTGCCCCCAGAACACGTGAGGTGTGACAGGATTGTGCAGTCACTGGTGTGTGCCCAGCACAGTTCCTGTATTTACACACCCTGCTCTGTGCAGTTGAGGATGGGACGCCTTAGACCCTTTTTCCCTTTCCAGGTTTCTGGATGAGCCAGTGCCGTGCTTGGCCTCACAGGTGTCTGTCCGGGCAGGCCTTGGCGTGCCGAACCTTCCCCATCCCCTCAGGAGAGCTTGGGATCCCGCGGTGACGCCGGTTTGTCCACCTCAGTGTCTTTGCTCTCGCCTTGCAGATGAGCGGGTGGATCAGCGAACCTGCCTGATCTGCGGGGACAGGGCGACGGGGCTGCACTATGGGATCATCTCCTGCGAGGGCTGCAAGGGCTTCTTCAAGCGGAGCATCTGCAACAAGCGGGTCTACAGATGCAGCCGGGACAAGAACTGCGTCATGTCACGCAAGCAGCGCAACAGGTGCCAGTACTGCCGGCTGCTCAAATGCCTCCAGATGGGAATGAACCGCAAAGGTAACGGAAACGGGGGCCTTTTTGGGTGGAGGTGTGGACTGGGGCCGGTGTTAGCAGCATGTGCTGCCCCTCCCTCAGCTGCCATTTTGTATTGCAATTCTGCCTCTAAAACTCTTTGACAAGGAAAAATGAAACTTCAGCAAAATCATGCACTGATTAATAATTATGCACAGATACACAATTCTGAATTACTTCATTACTCTAGTTGAACCACAGTTTGTATAAATTGAAACCGTGAATAAATATTTGGAGAACTGATCCATATGATTTAGGGAAGGTAAGAGTAATAGTGAATAGGGGTTGTTTTCAATGTGATGTCTCTGCTCTTCCATCTTTTGTCTGTTTAATCTCTGGAATTGCTGGTACCCATTAAAAGCAGGCAAGTCTTGGTTTGATGGCAGAAGTGGGGGCTGCTGGTGCTCTCCCCAGCTGTGCAGTGGGTGGTGGAGGGACCCCTGTCTCCTGCCAAACAGAAGTGTCACCTTATGGGTTTAGATGTGGCTGTTGATGCCTCCAGGCCATCACTCATGCAGAAGCCTCCTGTCAGAGGCACTGAAACTTCCATAAATTCCCTGCAAATCCACCAGGATCTTCCTGAGAAAATGCATCAGGGGCCGAGATGGAGAGCTGGCCTCAGGCCCAAGGTGGTCAGGGGTGGGTTGGTGGAACAGGTGGTGTCAGGTGTGTGCTGGGGTGGCCCAGGGCCCCCTGTGCCAGGCTCAGGGGATGGGTTGGGGTCCAGGATGGCCCAGGACCCCCTGTGCCGGGCTCAGGGGATGGATTGGGGTCCGGGGTCCGGGCTCAGGGGATGGGTTGGGGTCCCGGATCCCCTGTGCCGGGCTCAGGGGATGGGTTGGGGTCCGGGGTGGCTCAGGGGATGGGTTGGGGTCCGGGG